AAATTACGTCGGGTTGCTTGCACCGTCTTCCTACACTTGGAGGATCATGGGACTTAGTAAGTAAGGTTATAAGTACCCTAATTGGGATTATAATTGTAGTTACCTTATTTATAACCCTAGTTACTAAGTCCCATGATCCTCCAAATAGGGTCCTAATCTTCGGTGTTGTTGTTGGGGATTGAGCTTGAAAGCTTCGGGTTTGAGCTTGAGAAGTGATCTCGGGTTTAGGGTTTAGGGTTGATGGTGTCCGGTTTAGGGTTTAACACTTTAGCAATATCAAGGGCTTCGGGTTTAGGGTTGAGGGTTTCGGCTTCAGGGGTGTGGGTTTGCCATTTTGCTTTGCCCAGGCCCCAGGGCGAAGGAAGCCACCACGGGTCATGTACGATTCGCACCTTGATATCTGTGATCATTCTGTTGTTTAGCTGGTTCGCCTCAGTGTTGCTGACAGTGTGAGCGATGAATGTTACTTGGAGGATCATGGGACTTAGTAACTAGGGTTATAAATGGGGCAACTATAATTATAACCCCAATGAGGGTACTTATGACCTTACTCCCCTAACCCTAAACCCTAAACCCTAAAAGCCCTAAACCCCTAAAACCCTAAACCCTTACTTACTAAGTCCCATGATCCTCCAAGTAAAGCACGAAGCCAGTGCTCCACACCAAAGCCTCGACGCTTTCACTAGGGTTGAGGGTTTAGGGGGTCTGTTCCAAGCAAGATACGGGAAATCCTGTAAAAGCCGCAGCGCAAGCTTGCATCAACTTTCGCCCAGCTTACAAAACTTAGATCAAAGCCTCTTCAAGTTTCAAGGCAGGGCCAAGCCGATGAGGAGGACGACGAGGGGCAAGGTTGGGCATGGAGATCTTGGGGTCCTTTGCAGGTCGGAATAGTTGATCCACATATCATCATCGTCGTCGTCGTCATCATCATCTTGATATCGTTTTGGGGGAACTTAGTTTACCTGTGTCTGTTGGTATTGTACTTCTGAGTTTGCAGTTCTACTGTAGGCTTCTTGAGTGTTTCGTGTTGGTAGGTTTTAAGTACTTGCTGGGTTGGGACTATGGGCTGGAGTTAGGGATGTCTGCGATGTTGCATGGACCTTGGGCCAAGGTCTTCGGGTTATGGCCACTGGAACTGAGAGGTTTGGGTTTGGGTTCTGGGGTTTAGCGGGTGCTGGAGGTCATGCATCGTCACAAGTTGTGGTGATTTCGACCTCTTCTCTGACTTTTCCGTGCAGCGCTGGTTGTAGACAACACCATTCCCATCAGCCGCAGCCTGGGTTGTAGTCTCCCGAAATTGCCAGCTAGGTTTGGGGAATTACGGGACATCTAGTTCAGAAATTTCTCCACCATTCCGAAGTGCATACCAGACCCCCTGAACTGTCGACAACCCAAGCTCGAAAGGCTGGAGTCTAGAATAGTCGGCAAAGCTGATCTGTGCAGTTCGAACATAGTAAGCCTAAGACTTCAAAGCGCTGTGACGCCGTCCTGATCAGGCGAAGATCGGGCCGAGGAGGAGCTGCGCGCCTCGAGCTAGCAGCCCTTATAGAACACCGGTAGTGAGCTTTGTAGAACCCTGAAAGCGATTCTAGATTCTTGGCCCGGATTCCCAATGGTGCATTAAAGCCCGAAGCCTGTAGCGCTGACTCCCCAAACAGCCCAGAAGTACAGAGTGGCTTTTCCGGCTTCCTCGGAGGATGGAGAGAAGGAGGGCCTGGAAGAGGCACGGCATGCACGCACGATCCTAACGTCGTGCTACCGCAGAGTTAGCTTCTTTAGATGTCGAGTGCATTGGATCCTAGTTGCTGTCAGGCACCTCCAGAAGAGGACTTCCAGCCTGCTACATGGGGGTTTCCGAAATACGGGACCCTAATATAGTACCCTAAATAGTAGGACTCTTATTATAAGGACCCCAAAAGAAGGTACCCCCCTAATTTTCGGAAACTCCCACATTTTTCATGATGCTTATCTCTTCCAGAGCTGCCTTTTGACAGGAGGAGGAGGAAGGTGTCGAAGCTCCAGCCTGGGTGGGCCCGCGACTCGGTGCTCGGAAGCCGACATGGGTGGTTGTCAAAATTATGGTCCCTTTTTGGGTCCTTATTTCAATACGGCACCTATTATTTAGGGTACCCCAAAAGGGACCATAGTTTTGACAACTACCCACATCTTCTGAAGCGCAAGCCTTCTCGTGGAAGGAACCTTCGACACCAATGCCATGGCGTCCATGATGCAGGATCTCGCCGAATGTTGTTCGATGCAATAATGATAATAACAATAACAATAATAAAAAATAAAGAGAAATAAGAATAAGAAGAAGAAGAATAATAACAATACAAATAATAATAATAATAATAATAAGAAGAAGAAGCAGAATATGAAGAAGAAGAATAATCATACGTGCCGGGGACGACGGCAGCTGCGGCAGTTGGACGACAGTGGCGCTAGGGCACACATGCATTGACATGCAACCAATAGCAACACAGCGACATGGTGGAAGCTCGAAGCACCGGCACCATTGTTCCTCTGCCTTGTGTGCTCCAGGTATGTCTCTGACACCTCCCAAGCAACGCAGCTTTTGTGTACAATACGGGAGTCCCAGAATTGCCACTACCTTCACGCCTAACGGATTAAAGCCGGTCTGTGCTGTTGTTCTCGCCCTCATTCTGAAGAGTAGTTGCTGCATCCTCCACATGGCAGGGCCGCACACTAGGCGAAAGCAATGCTGAACCCACGGACAAAGTGGTGAAGTACCGGCTGTAAAGCCATCGCTACCATGAAGGTTGTAGGCAGAGTCAATCGGGATCGGGGTCTATGAGGGCAGCATCGCGATGTAGCTGTCAATGATTCCTCTTGTGGTAACCTTCGTAGCCTTCGTTGAAAGACCAAGTCGCATCAGGACCAGAACATGCAGTCACTCTTGGCGCAGCTGGTCCAAGCCATGCCAGGGCAAATAGCTCAGTCTGGATTCAGTCTGGAATACGTCGACAGATTGAGTGTGCAGCCTTCACGTGAAGCGAGGCCGGGCATCAAAGTCCACCCTGACGATCCTTTCCTGGATCCCTCGTTTATTGGGTGCCTGCCCTACCGACACAGTTGCTGCAGAGCCTACCCGGACGCAGCACGCCGTGAGGCAGATGTTTCACGCGCAGACCATTGACTCAATGGTCAAGCTGCAAGATGCAGTTGAAAAGCTGCAGGGAACTTACTCCTTGCGTCGCAAAGTATAGTAAAGTAGCTCCAAGTTATGATTCGTGGAGGTCGATGACCGATGGCGCGAAAGCGAGCGCTCCAAACGCTAGAGGGAAGAAGGCGTTGGACACATCGGAAAGATGCTCCGGCATTTGTCCTGAGGGCTCCTGTCCGATCCCCCGCTGCAAATGCTATGCATGTGACAGGGACAAGACATCAAGGATGATGGTCCGGCGTATGCCGCTCCGGCATGTGATTTGTCGTGCACGGGAGTCTCAGAGAACAGGGCCCGGCATGCAGACCGGAAGGCCAAGTGGTAAGATCCTTACTACCTTATGATGCGGAGCCCGAAACAAGGTACCCTCAGTTTCAGAAACCAATCGAGCACGTTGCAGGATTCGCCAGCAGCTCTCAGCGGTTTGCACTACCGAAGTCCGGCGCACAACTTCAAAGAGTGCGGGCCAAAGCAGAAATTCGAGGTGTGGATTGTCAGCTCGTCGGAAGTACTTCTTGAGATGCTACCTGTAATATACTGTGATTCCAGACAATGCCGCCCAGGTGCTTCAACATGTTCATTGCTGCTGAACAAGAAAGCCCAGAGATCAGATACAAGGGACAGCTGCAGGCACGACCTGGTTCCCGGCCTGGCATGCTCAGGGAGGTCGTCAACATCAGCATGAGCATGCAAGGGAGCCGTTAAACAAGTTGCCACCTCGCCCTGGCCAAAAAACCCCCAAACCTCAAACCCTATCCTTTATTCCTCAACCCGAAGTGGTTCTGATTCTTAAACGCCAGCAACCCACGTTGCGGTTCTTCGCCCAGTTCTGAGAGCAGGCCTAAACCCTAGACCCCCAAACCCCAAACCC